ATATTTGCATCCACTTAAATAGTTTACTCTCACGTGAGAGTATCTTGAATTCGTTCAACATTTTAGTATCATGATATAGAAAAAAAAAGAAAGAAATAGTTAGTACTATGGTTTAATAAGTCTCTCAAATAATCATAAAGGAAGATAAGTTTAAAAATCTAGCAGATAATAGCAAATGTTTCTATGGCTTTGTTTCCATTCCTCAAATATTTTGTTCACGTAGAACGACTACTTAATGAACAATAGTCAGGATTTCTTAATGAGGCTTGTGGTCACTTCTTAAGAAACTCTTTTGTAAATTTTTAATATCTTTTTGTTTAATGAACTGCCATTCTTTATATAGTATGTTAATTAAAATATAATAGACTGTCTTTCGATGAACTTACGCATAGGATTGTTTGGTTCATTAGTACGCGAACTGGGAGGCAACTGTTGTTGGTTTCTAGGTGTGAGACTGTCTTGACGCTGTTGATTATTTTTGTCATAGTCATGATTATGTAATACCAAGTCTGTATTAAATAGACGTAAAGATTATAAATGTGAACTAATCTCTCCGTAATAAATGTATCATTAATCAAAAACTATAAAAATAAACTGTCTGGATCATTAATAGTCAGGTGATGTTGAGAAGTAGATGATGGGAAAAATATTTTAGAAAACTCTAACTTAAAGTTCAACATTTTTGGAACATCACACAGAGTTAAGAGATAGTATAAGCCTTTAGAAAGTATCACTTTCTTTGCTTGCAAATCAGGAAAAAACTTAGACATTACCCAAGAAGACTCTTAAAAGTCAACAATGGTCGTGGCAAGTAGTAGAAACTTGAATATTTTTTTTTCCGCGTTTAATTCAAATTTCGAGCCCCTTAGTGGGCATCGAATGTCGAGTCCTCAGAAGCATTTCTTGCTTGCATGTTTATTCTCGACTCCTCGGACATGTTTCGACCGCTCGAAAACCATCGACATATTAATTACTCGAAGAGAAGTGACCTATCAAAAAGATCATTTCAATTACTCCATATAATTTTGATCAGTCGAAGCTCATCGAACTGTCGAATGGTCGGAAACATTGATCCATCTTGCATTCATTTTCGACTTCTCGGACATATTGCAACGGCCTGAAGTCTATTTAAGTTTCGGCTACTCGAAGGTACGAAATCCATCGGAAAGATATTTTCGATTACTTGACATGATTTTGATCAGTCGAAGTTAATCTGAACATCGAATGCTCGACGAAACACACCTATCGAATAGCATAACTGCTCTTGTTGGTTTTGGTTCGATTGCTAAAAACGTCTCAGAAATTCAGTTTTTGAATGTTTTTTTTTTGTCTCTTATTGCATGATTCCATTGAAGAACGTTTGTTTCCCTTAGGTGCTTTGATGCGGTCTTACCATTTAAGCAATATTATTTATCAGCTACAACTAGAACAACGATAGAAATATGTTAACAGTCCTGAGAAAAAAACAGACATAATTAAGTTTCGTTTCATAACACAGCAAATATCCTGAGGTCTTAAATAACTCTCGTTGATTACTCGTTGACAAAGAACTAGCTCATAGGATCATTTAAAACAATCGGTTTATTTTTTTAGTCATCAAAGTGACTGAGATGGTTGAATATTAAAAACTTAAAAGGCATAGATAGGTGAGATTTGCCTAATTTTAGTTAATATGTCTTTGTTGCTTCCTTTACATAATTTAATTCATTTTAATGTAATCAGTGCTTTAGTATCACTTTTTCATTTAACGCAATGAAACTTATAACAGATAATATTAATTATATTTATCATCAACAATAGCAATATATATATACGACTTGTTGCTTTTGAAGACAAAACTTATTAAAATTATCTTCAAAGTCAATACGAAAATAATATTAAAGTTAAACATATTTCATGATGCCACTGAGATTTATCTAAAATGAAAACGTTCTATTTATTTCATCTGATCTAAATGAGCATTGCAATCGCAAGTACATATGTTCGGATCTTCATTTCTGCAAAAATATCCGATAGATATTGAGTGCTTGAAAAAAAAACCAGATGTAGAAAACGAAAATTTTTTGAAATTTCACAAAACTTCCGAGTGCTCGGAATATCGACCACTCGAAGTTCGACTGATTTGACCCATCCGAATTCAACAGAGAGGAATGCGAAGAAGGTATACGAATTTCAAACAACCCCCGGATTTTCACTTTTCAATCGGTCCAGAAAACGTCGACGCGCAGCAAAATTACAATGTCGTCAATTCGTCGAAAAGCCCAGATTGAAATCTCGAAATACTCTTTGAGTAATAGCTTGGATAGCCTACCTATATCTTTTAGCATGGGTTTTGAAAACTATATGGTTATCGAATAAATACTGAATTTATACCTATTAGTTATACCTTTATATACCACTTATTACAGAGTTTTAGAATTGCTTGAATTTAACCACTTTGTTCAGAACTTATAAGCAGATTCAATAACAACAAAAACACGAACCATATTCACATCCACTTAAATCGTTTACTCCTATGTAGCAGCATCTCCGATTCGCTTCATATTTTAGTTTCATGATAAAGAAACATAGCAAGAAAGAACGAAATATTACCCATGTAAAAGTCAATAAAAATTTAACGAAGTTAACGAAAAAAGATGTTACATTTTTGATCGTGAAAACGCGTTAAAAATTTGCTTTTAACGAAACTCTACGCGTGTTTTCTCGTTAGAAACAGTTTAACGTGAAATAATCCGTGAAGTTACGTTAAAAGCAAATTTTCAACGCGTTTTCACGGTCAAAATTGTAACATCTTTTTTCGTTAACATCGTTAAATTTTTATCAATTTTTACATGGGTAATGCTATCGGATAAAACTGCTTAAAACAATCGCAGAAACAGATAAGTTATAAAAATTGAGAGGATAATAGTAGATGGTTCTATAGATTTCTTTCGACTCCTCAAGTTTTTCGAGCACCTAGAACGGCTACTTAATAAGCAATAGTCTAGATTTCTTGATGAAATATGTGGTCACTTTTTAAGAACCACTATTTCCTGAGTTTTTACAATTCGGTGTTTCTCAATGAAATATCACTATTTATATATGACGCCAACTTCAATATAGTAGAATTTCCTTGAATGAACTTACTCATTGAATTATTTACTTCATTAGTACGCAAAGTTGGAATCAATCGACGTTGGTTTCTGGGTGTGAAAAACCCTTGCCGCTGTTGATTATTCTTATCATAGTCACGCTTCTGTGTTGCCAGCTCTGTTTTCAAATAACGAAAAGCTTTAAACTTCAACGAATCTCTACGCTGATAAAAGCATTATTAATCAAAAAATATAACAATAAACTGTCTGGATAAAAGATAATGTGGAAAATGTATAGAAAAACTTTAAGTGACACTTCAACATTTTTCAGATATCGCACAGAATTAAGACTTAAAATAAGTCTTTAGCCACTATTCTTTACTCTACTGGCTAATTACCGAAAGATGTAGGCATCGAGCTACCAATACCATATAAACATAGCTTTTGAAAATTACACGATTGTCGAATCTATACTGCATTTATGCCTATTAGCTATACCTTCACATATCACTCATGAGAAACTTTTAGAGCACATTGAGTTCAATCATTTTATTCAGTATTTATTATCAGATTCAGTGAAAACCAAAATCTACCAAATTCTCATCTGCTTAAATAAGTTGACACATACGTGCGAGTATCTTGGATTTACTCAATATTATAGTGTCATAATATAGAAAGAAAGAAAAAAGGCAATAGTTAGTGCTTCCATTCAATAAATCTCTAGAATAATCATAAAGAAAGATAAGTTTTAAAAAACTGGCAGATAATAGAGATGTCTCCACGGATTTATTTCGAATTCTCAACTATTTCAGGCACCTAGAACTGCTACTTAATTCGTAATAGTTAAGATTTCTTGATGAGGCTTGTGATCACTTCTTAAGAAACTCTCTTTTCTGAGCTTTTACAATTGTGTTTTTCTTGATGAAATAATACTTTCTATTGATGATGCCAATTTGAATATAATAGACTTTCTTTCCATGAACTTACCTATTGGATTGTTTGCTGCATTATTAGGCGGAATGGGAGGTAATTGATGTTGGTCTCTAGGTGTGAGACTGTCTTGACGTTGTTGATTATTCTTGTCATAGTCACTGTTCTCTAATGGCAACCCTGTTTTAAAATAACGAAAATCTTTAAATTGAAACAAATTTCTACTATAATAAATCTATTATCAGTAAAAGAATAGGATGTTGAATTATCTGGATCATTATTAGTCAATAGACGTTAGTTAACAGAAGTAACTGACGGTTAAAATATTTTGGAAAAGTTTAACTTAAGCTTCAATATTCTCTTTGAACAGTGCAAAAAATGGAGAGTTGAAATGAGTCGTCAGCGACTATCTCTTACTTTATCTGCAAATCAGAAAACAATTTAGACACTAAGCTTTCTATATCTTTTAGTATGAGTTTCGAAAGTTATATGGTTATGGAATATGTACTGAGTTCATAACTATTAGTTATACCTTAATATACCGCTCATTGGAGGCTCTTAGACTAGATTGAGTTCAATCATTTTGTTTAGTGTTAGTTAGGAGATACAATAAAAAGTAAAACGACCCATATTTCCATCCACTTAAGTAGTTTATAGTTGTTAAAAACTATCTTCAATGCGATCAGCATTGTACTGGCATGATATAGAAACGTAGAAAAGAAGAAATAAATAATAGTTCTATCGTTAAAAAATCTTCTAAAACAATCGTAGAACAGGATAAGTTTCAAAAATCTAGGAAATAATAGTAGATGGTTGTAGGGGTTTGTTTGAAACGGTCAACTTTTCTGTCCACAATGAAAAACGTCTTAATTATCAAAAGTGAGGGTTTCTTGATGAGATCTGTAGTGGTTTTTCAGATGCTTCTGTTTTCTGAGTTTTTACAAATGTATTTTTCTTAATAAAGTGTTCAGTTTTATATAGCTATGATGCCAATTTGAATATTATTGACTTTCTTTAGATGACCTTACCAATAGGTTTCTTTGGTGCACTAGAAGCAGAAAGGATAGCTGCCTCCTGTTTGCTTTTGAAGGCGATAGCTTTGTGATGCCATTGTACGCTCTTCTCGTAGTCACGATCCTGTGATGCTAATTCGCCCAGCTCCTCATATAAATTACCGATTAAAGGATCGTTTGGTGGAAGTTCTTTCAGAAAGCGAGTTAAATATTGCTCAGCTAAGTCAAGTTTTCCCAGTTTCCACACCACTCTTCCTAACGTTCGAAGATTTGTTTCTGTACTCCCTAATTGCTGTTCCATATGCTTGAGAACTTGTTTTAAATCATGTTCATTCTCACTACAAAAAGTCATTTTGAGGATCCATGGTTGGTTATCACTGCTGCGATTGATAGAATTCAAGCGAAAAATAGAACCAAGCATAAAGAGTACTTCGGATTCTTGATTAAATTCACTATATTTACTGATATCTGCAAATGGTTTTGTTGTAGTTATCTTAGGATCGGCATTGATTTCAAATAATACTGGTTCTAAATTATCTTTGCCATAACGAACATTAATGAATGAAAGAGCTGTTTCACAATCAGTACTAGTGGACAAAAATGAATTCACTGAAATAAATTGGCCAATTGATTGTTTCAAAGTTTGCAGTTCATTACTTGACATCATCTGACATCGATAAACTTTTAGATTATGTGTAACTTGATTAGTTTTTAATTGATGATAGATATCAGAGATAAATGAGCGAAATAAAAAAATCCAATGAGTTTTTTCGTTGCGTAGAACGGCATTAAGAGTGTTGTAAAAGAACGATTCTCGTGAGTACCACCATAAGGCTTTTTCAGGTGAATATGTCTTTTCAAATTCATCAATATTCTGCAACTCGATCTTATTACCTTGATATTGTTGTTTACAACGATCAATAAGTTCCGTTTTATCTGTTTCAGTGGATTTTAGTCGTAGAAGACAATCGATGAGAACTTGAGAAAAAATAAATTTACCGTTTACACTACTTGTTGATTTACTTTTTCCAAACTCAGTATTAAAAATATTAATTGATAATGGTTCATCCACCTTTTTCTGAGTCGTATGATCAGCTTTAATTCGAGCAATAAGTTCATCAAGTCCAACAACAACATCTTTCACCTATCAAAGAAAAAATGACAATATGAAATCTAAATCTTTCAGAATAATTTTACTTTTGAAAATTTGTCAGCCCATTCTTTGTTTCTTTGCTTATCCATGCAGTAAACATAGATCGATATAACTTGTCGAAGTGTATTAATAGAAGGGACTATTTGTCGTCCCAATTGACCACTAACAATGACTATTAGTCGATCTTGTTGAGATCGTTGTTCAATATATCTTTTACATTCTTCTACATCTTGAAATTTTTTAAAACGATTAATAACAGTACGTAGTTTTTGTTCTGTCTTTCGAATATCTTTAGAATTCACATTAGTATCGAGCCAAATAAGACAGAAAATTTCAAGATACTGATTATCGGCGCTTGTATAAATTTTATCATTTGGTGAAATAGTAGTAGCCATTTTAATCAAAGGGACTAAATAGAATAGAAGTTTTGAATGTTGATTATTTGATTTAACTATCGAATCTATAAGTATTTTTGACAGTGAAAAACAATATTAAATTCTCATTTTTATTTTTTTTATTTCTTAATATTTATGATGTCGTGTTTTATTTTTAATCTTAATGTAAAGTAAGAAGATAAAAAAAAAAGATTTTTGAATTCATTAAATAAAATTATTTTCCTCTGATCCTTAATTTTTGAAAGTAAGTTCACCGAACCAATATGTATGTATGTTTTTTCATTAGTCAACTAACATGAATATAAACCAAACGATATATCATCTCTCACTAGATTCGACAGTGTCACTTGATCGTATTTGGCTTATAAAAATCGTAAAGAATATTTTTGGTGTTTTAAAAAGATTGAGATATATTTCGATCAGAAAAGGTCAAATGTTTTACCTATATTGTTAACAATCTCTTTTGATAAATGTTCTATGAAGTGGTAGACAAAAATTTTCCTCAAAGAAATCTATATCTGAAAATTCAAAAAAATATATCACTGTATTTAGATTATTTTATTATAAGAGATGAAATATGTTTTGTTATTATAAAGTTTCATTTCGATCAAAGATTCATTGTTATACACTGAAACGAACCGTTTATACGAATATGTAAACTATGTAACGAGTATAATAATAGATAAATCTATTAAAACACGTAAACTCATACTCAATTTACGTTTCTTTACGAAGTCCTTTAACAGCTTCTATAAGTTTTATTATATTCATTGTTTTATGCTTTAAGGAAAAATTATTCATTAGCTGGCAACTTGAATTGCTACGGAACACAACTGAACTAACATTCTTCTGTATAGACATAGATTCGTCAAACTCCATCAAACTCATTCCTATGCACTCCAAAAATTTTCATCTCCAGTTAAGCGTATATGATATATTTCATGAATTTTCTTGAAAATTTATTCGAGTCTTGATATATAAATGTAAGAGATAAAACTCACGATATATTTATAATACCTTCAGTATCTGTGCATTTTCTATATCTCTAACATACTCTAAGACAGATATATGTATATATAATGTTAGCGTCCCTGATGAATCATTTGGACGCTAAACGATGATTAAGATGCGCCTTCTAGTCTAATTGGCTTAGGACAACTGCCCGGATAGTAGGAGGTGTGGGTTCGATTCCCACGAAGGTCATCTTTTTCATCGTTCTGTCACATAACATCAGTGACACTGCTTGTCTCTTTCGTTTTATACATAGTAGAGCTAACATATAATATGTATGTACTCACTATAATGACATATATTGATAAGAAATATATTACATTTATTAGAAATATAGGAAATGTTAAAAAATTGAAGACTAATATTTAACCAATGAATTAGTGTTATGACCTGCATCTTCTTCAAAGGCAGTCATAAGGATTTTTTCTTCTCTATCTATAGAATCATACATATGTACTTATATTCTACTACTTTTCTCCTATTGTTTAGTCATGCGCTATAGGTTTTTTCTTTTCTTTCATATATATTGAAATTTTCTTTTTTTTTATGATTCTATGTATGTTTTCCTCGTTTGTTAATGGTTTATGGGATTTTCCATTAGAAATTTTTCAACGCTTGTCACTACTCTATATATAGTGTTACATTGTTGCGTAGAGAAAAAGAGGATTGAATTTAGATACAGTTATACAAATAAAGTATAAATTGCATTCAAACGTCACAATTAGATTAACTACACACAGTTGCATAATTTCAGAGAATGTCTATAACAAATCAAATGAATGAAATTTTCATCGTTCTATTCACTTGAAATTATTTCAGTTCGTTTTCTTCTTTTATGAAAACATCATGTTTTGGGTATTAAAAAGTTTTCTATACTTCTTGTTAGTATGTGTACAAAACTAGACGCTATTTTATAACAATATACTTATTATATATTATAGATATTATTGGCTTAATCAAATGAGATCTATTCACTTAAAGAGGATCGAACTTTTTTGTTCGAATACATATTGTTCCATTCAACAGTTATAACTATTTAGTACAACACATCAGACTGTTGCAATATTGAGGTCATACGGTGCGACACTCGCTGTGTGTGTGACATGTAAAAAAGTTTACAGACTATAGCACTATCTTCTATACTTTCTATGTATTGAATATATCATATATCTTTGTATCATTCGTATTTTTGAAGAATCATGTAAGAACTTAGATAGTCGTCACCCACATAAAGATTTTACTACTACATTCGAAGCACTTTTATGTTTTTTTTCTTATCAAAATTTGAGTTACATTATGTTGATAGCTTAATGTTCGTCTATTAGTTAACTAAAGATGATGTATAGCATATAGCAGAAAGAAGCACGGAAACTAATAACTAACAAATATTTTATCAATCGATTGTCAAAAAGAAATATTGATCGTTGGAATAGATTTCATGTTTTTCTCATTCGTGTCTAGTATGCAGATCATATTTACGATATGTTTGTATTTATGTAATAGATTTTTCTCTGCGTTTAACATTATTCTAATAAGTTACTCACCACAACAAAATAAATAAAATCAAATGTGCAAAGAATATTTTGTACTGTGTACCTCTTTATTAGATTCGATGCTATGTATGTAAAACTATTTGCTTGTCTGATCAAATGATTGAGTATTTTATCTTTGCAGCAAGGTAAGTTATTCGTTTTTTCATCATTTCTTATTTTCCCTGCGTTTTTTTTCTTTTTTTTTTCAATTACACTCTATGTACGAGAGAATGAGCACGTTGCGCACGAAAGAATGTGCATGAATAATTTACGCATAGTCAATATTGCACATGATATAAAAACAAAACACATTTATATATTAAAAGGTATCGAAAAGCAAAAAAAGGCACGAAAAAAAATAAAAATATTATTTTTTTCTACGCTTCAGCTCGTAGTATATTTTATTCATATCTCACATACTTGTCCTGATATAATGTGAACTTTTTATTTTTGAAACAAATCTAATTTAATAATATTAGGACATCAAAACGATTGACTTTGCACAAACTGTGTAAATTACAAATAATTCTACAGAAATAGTATAGTACAAAGATCTAAAATAATTTTTCATATCTGCTAGCATAAGAATAATATTATCGTTGATAACTGCTGATGTTTTTCTGTAGTCCAGAGTAGATCATTGAAGAATCATAAGAGAAAATCTAATAAGAGTTTAGAAGTGAATATGAGTATTATAGTCAGTATTTCTGTCATCTAATGACACAATACGTCCACGTTTACAGTTGCAGACATTAAAATGACATTTTCTCAATCTATTCTTTCTCTAATCTTATTGGAAGATGAAGATAATACAATTCATCAGATCTGTATTCAATCAACACTGTATGTATAAGGAGACTAGTAATTATGAATTTGGCATAAAAGTTGCATCATTGTTATCAGAAATTCTATGAAATTTCAAAATGGAAATAGTGTTATGAGATACAAAGTCTGAATTAATGTACATGAATGTAATGTTAATAATTGTTTAAGAAGAATACTAATTTAGTTTTTAACAACAAGAAAATATTATTCTAATCTTTCGATGAAATAAAGCTGATAAAGATGAAAACGAGTACTCATATATATGATGTTTCTGGATGAATTGAAACACGCACGAAAGATATCTGACTAAGCCGATTAGATGCAAAGTTCTCCCAAAATATAATGGTAATTAGAAAGAAAACCGAATTCTGGCTCCAAAAATTTTCCAGTACAACATCTATCGACGATTAGAATCATTATGATTACTGTATGTGCAACTATGATTATGGAACTTTAGATTTTGCATTGATCAAGGTACAGAACAACAACATAATCTAGAATTTCTTTTTTAAAACTATGTATCATTGAATTTTCTACAAACTGAAGATCCAAAGCGAATCGAATATAGATTATATCGAGTCATATTGAATTGGATGGAGATGTTTTCATTCAATTTATTCTCTAGATCACAAACGAATCGGAAAAAAGAAAGAAGTTGAAATATATTCAATTATAGTTTAATGAGTAGGAACAAAATACAAATCAGTTGTTATCTTATCAATAAATAGCAAGCTAAAATACTAATTACTATTATGTTCCAATCTTTTGTTGAAGAGTAGTTTTTATTATCCTATTTGAACCATCGATAAGTTACACTTGAGTGTGATAACGGCAAAACAAGAATTATTTTCTACGAAACCTATTCGAGCAATTCGAAACAAAAAAATTGATTCACATAAGTTATAAAGATAAAATAAAGAAAATAAAAGCAATTTAGGAGTTGCAATCAAGTTTGGCTGAATTTTGTAAGCAGAATTGTTAGTTGTGAATGTGTAATCCAATGACGTAGACGTTTACTATACTAAAAGAATAGTTAAATTTTTATGATATGCGCATATCGAACAAAAAAAAAACAATATATTCTTATGACTCTCGAGATTGCTAAGTGATATCTGTCTATTACTTCTTTGACGTTATTTCAAACTTATTCTTTTCAAGTAAATTTTTACAACGATTAGTTTTCGTTCGTTTCGTCGAATTTTAATAGATGCATTCTATGTATGAAATTTAGATCTTTCAAGGGTCAATTATATTATTCTTCTTTCATATTCTTTTAGATAGTTGATCATAATACAACACATTATGAAATACTTATTTGAAGAAGAAAATCGTAGTTTCTGTTCGCATCTATGCTCGTTGAATAAGTTTTATGTTTCTTCATGCAATTATGTTCATATGTTTTATTATATTATTATAAGCTCACGTTCAAATTAATATTTTCCATAACGATTAAAACCAATTGTTGATCACAAAGTCAATTCGAACTTTCTTTCTCTTTCGAATTGTTTTATTGAGAAATAGAAACTAATCATAATTAAAAATAATTCGAATACTTATAAAGAGTTGCTTTTTTTTAATCGCATTGAATTATAATGATTTCAATGAAGGAACAAGAGGATCCATTTCATTAGTTTCTAATGTCCACTCATCATCTAAATTACATGTTTCTTTTTTTCGCCTTGTATATGATTCAATAGAATTGGTTAATGTTCGAAGATATTCCGCTTCAGCTGCTCCTGTCTGTTCTACTAGTAAACTAAAATGAGAGTAGTCATTCGAAAGTAATACTTGAGGTGAATAAAATTTAACCAATTTCCCATTACTAAGTACCTAGAATAACAAAAACAAATGTGTACAATTTTCAAATAATATCAAAACGTCATACAATGATACGATCACTATCAATCACTGTACGCAAACGATGTGCAACTGTCAATACTGTACATTCTTTAAATTTATCACGAATAGCTCTTTGAATCAATTCATCCGTTCTAAACAATATTTTCAATCGTTTTCTTTTCTGAATATCTCATTTTTTTTTGTCACTTACATATTATCCACATTAGCAGTTGCTTCATCAATTACAAGAATTTTACTTTTTTTCAATAAAGCTCTTGCTAAACATACCAGTTGTTTTTGACCAACACTCAAATTAGATCCACTTTCACTTACTAATGAATGAAGACCATTGGACATCATATCTGTTACTAATTTCTTCAATTGTACCTATATCAACAATAAAAGTTTATGCAATTAGTGACACCAAACAAAAACAAAATTTATTAAATAATGACAGACTTGTTCAAGTGCATTCCATATTTCAGCATCTGAATAAAGACCAAATGGATCAAGATTGCTTCTCATTGTACCAGTAAAAAGAATAGGATCTTGTCGAATAATTGAAATACGACGTCGAACATCATCTAAATCAATAGTTGCTATATCAATATTATCAATAATAATGTGACCATTGACGAGTGTACCCATTCGAAAAAGAGTTTGAATGAATGAACTTTTACCAGCACCTGTTCTTCCCACAATACCAATTTTTTCACCAGGTTCAATTATTAATGATATATGATGAAGAACCAATGGTGAATGTAATTCTTTCGAATGAGACATCGAAACATTTTCAAAAATGATACGACCTTGTGATGGCCAATTTGTTGCTGATCGATATTTTGATGGCAATTGATTAGGTGGTTCTTGTTCAAGTGAACAATATTCAAGTATTCGTTCAACTGATGTCATTTGAATTTCAACTTCCACTGATTGTCTAAAATAAATAGCGTTTTCTAGACGAAAACAAAATGTATATTTTATTTACAAAATCTCACCTGATAGTCTATTGAAAAAGGCTCATAAGATTCAGACTGTATGTGAGTGTAAAAGCAATTTCTACAGCTGAAAATTGACGTTGACTTATACAAACAATTATAGGCAGTGTAATAACCAAAGCAATAAATATTAGAGTTACCCAATCGAAACGCATTGCTGACCATCTATTTAATATTGCACACAAATAATAAACTCGTGTATTATTATCGAGATGATGATAAAATTCTTCAGAACAAATATTTTCAGCATGATAAGATCGAATAACTTTGAGTCCATGAATAGTTGATGTTAATTGTGAATAAACAAGACTTCGTGTTATTCCTACAAGTCGTTTTAAATCACGTGAACATGGAGCAAATCGATATCTCACAAAGAGCATGCCAATTGCAGCAATTATTGCTGGAATAAATGACCATGGATTGAGTAATACAACTAGAATAATTGTACCCAAAACTTGAGATAAACACTGAAACGAAAATATATCGTGTTGATCTAGACTTGAAAAATAAATTACATTTACCACAAGAAATTCGAGTACAGTCATTGGTAAAGAATCATCCATTGCAGCAATATCGTTTGTAAAACGATTCAATATTCGACCTGTAAATAAAATATTGACGAGAAATACGAATTGATGATATTCAATTCTAAATTTTTAAGTATCTTCTTAGCTTCAATTTAAGTTTATCATACTCTTTTTGTTTTACGAATATGTTACTTTTTTGAACCATAAGAAATACTAAATAAAGATTCAAATCAATTACTTACCAACGGGATTTGTATCAAAAAATGATATTGGACATCGAATTACTCGTTTAAACATTCTAAAAATGAGAAAAACTTTAAAAAACAAAATAGACGATTAAATTTAACAATAACTTACTTATTATGAAGAACTCGTCCAGCATTTAAACATATAAGTCGACAGACAATAGTTTGAAGAAATATTAAAAAGCAAAGTAAAGATACGAGAACTATAATTAAATATAAGAATATTGAAAAATAATTCAAATTTCATTAACTAACTAACCACAATATATGTAAAATCGTCGATTTCGATATAAATTCCATTCGTTATCATTCATTCTGTATATTCTCTCAATTTTCTTATCTTGTATAGCCATGCATTTAGTTGAATTCTGACGATGACGACTTTCATCATTACTCCATGCTGCTAGCTACCAGTTACTATAAATAGCTAGTGCTTGTTGTGTTGCAAATATAATTATAATTAATAGAGAATCCAAAATAATACCAACACCAGCTCGAAGATATGCTACATAAACATTCAATTTTACTGTTCCTCTTGTTTTGTTTCAAGATTTTTTGATAATGAATTAATATCTTGTTCATCAACATTATCTTTTTCTGAATTTATTGAACCAACCATTGATTGTTGATTTAATAAAGAAACCGGTTGTTGTTGTTCTTGTTCATGTTGATTAATATCTTCAAGAAGCTAAGCAAATGATGATGAAGATAAAAGTAATTCTTCATATGTACCCATTTGTACCATTTCGCCCTATAAAATACATATTTAATTATACGATAAAAACAAAAAAAACACAATATATTTTCATCGATATACATACATTATCAAGAACAATAATTTTAGTTGCATCTTGTAAAAATTGTATTTGATGAGTAACTAAAATACGAATTTTATTACGAAGCTAATGTTTAATTGATCTAAAATAAGTTCATTGATGTTTTAAAGATGAAAAAAATTGTATTTACTTGTCAAAGAGATGTTTAGAAACTTTAGCATCAACAGCTGAAAGTGGATCATCTAATAGATAAATATCAGCATCACGATAAAGTGCTCTTGCCATATTCACACGTGCTTTTTGACCCTATCAATAAAAGATGATAAATAATTTTTAATAGACCTTTTTTTTCTCTTCGAATAAACCAGCATATCTTACTCCAGATAACATGACACCTTGATCATCAACAAGTGTATTTTCACCATGAGACAATGGAACAAAATCCTAATCATTAAATACAATTGCATATCATTTCTGTATATGGACAAAAATTATTCTTTAACGACTGATACAAAAAAATACGCTGTAAATAATTCCTAAGGCTATAAAACCTCTATCTAAAGTTTTTTCTGAGCATGTTTCAATTTTTACGAAAAAAAAATGATTCACTTTTCGTTAACGATGTGACGGAGAACGAGTATCTTTCAGGACCAGAGATGAGCACAGGACAGGACGTCCTGTTGTCCTGTCCTGCCGCTCGTCAGGACAGAAAAATTAGCAGGACAAAAACAGAATAGGATAAAATTTTGATTTTTTTTCTTGTCCTGCTGTCCACCAGGATCGAGATAGCTAGCAGGATATGAGAGAAAATCTTGTCCTGTGCTCATCTCTGTTCAGGACAAATGCTCTTATTGCCAAATGAAAAGTTCAAAAGCAAGTACAAATCTTTCTTCAAAATCTCTCGAAAATCGTTTATTAAGAGACTGATCTTGTTAAAAATCTATCAAATCACTAATTAACTGATTAATTTTAATTCATAGTTAGTTGATAGGGTCAACATTTTTACATATATCTATACGAAAAGAATTTATTCAGAAAAATAACACTAGTAAAGAACAAAAATTGACCTACTGCATCAAGAGCAGTTGCATAAACAACACGTTGAAATAACTTATAATTATATTTTTTACCAAAAAGAATATTATTTTTTATTGATGATGAGACTATCCCTATTAATATAATAAGTAAACTTTGAACAAATTTTCAATAATAATAATAATTGATTTACATGATTCTTGTGATACATAACAAAATGATCCATATAATCGAACTTTTCCATCAAAATAAGTTATTTCACCTGTTAATGTTTGTAAAAGTGAACTCTGAATAGATGGAGAATTAAAAGTAAAATTATATTTAAATTGGAGGAAAAAAAAGCAAACTTTTCCAGATTCAACAGATCCAATAATACAAATTAAATCACCTGGATGAGCATCGAATATAATATTTTTTAATAAGAATTTTCCATTCTAAAAAAGAAAATAATTATTATTATTTTAATCAGAAAACACATAAGAATATTTACTTTTTGCCATTGTGCTTGTTTTAAATTGCATATAACGTGAGATATTTGTTTTATTGAATTTTCATCCATTTTATCTATTTCTACGATATCTTTTAAAGATGTTGATAACAATCGATTGTCTTGTTCAGATTCATCAAATAAAAGAAATGTCTATAGAAAATTTTCATTTCAAATATTATAATGAAAAATAAACAAAAATTCTCTATTCAAACAAGCTCAAATGCGTTTTTGAGCAGCCATATAATTAACAAGATCATGAATAGCAAAGTTAAAATAATTAATACAAGATTGACGTGTATAGCTAAGTAGTACATATGAGAGAGTAAAAAATACGTGTATCAAACTTCATATCAAATGTCCACATTGTTCCATACATCATTAAAAATGTTATACTAATGTGACTATCTGATAAGACCATTTCAATACAGATACATATCATAAATAGAGAAATTTTAATTATTTCACGTCTAAATAATACATCGACATTTGTTTTCATATGTAAGATATATTAGAATGATATACTTACGTTCTTACATGACGAACTTTTCTTTCGAATGCTGATTCCCAACAATACATTTTTACAATACGCATTGATTTAATAATCTCAAACATGATTTTAACATGTTCATCTGTTATTTTCAAAACTTGAGTACTAGAAATCATGAAATTTTTTCATTGTAAATGATAATAATATAAAGATTTAAAAGAAAAACAAACCGTAAATAAAGAAATAGACGACTGAATAATGGTTGAATCAATAAGAGAAGTAACGTATGACCAACAGCAATAAAAATAATATATTTAACAAAATACCACAATAGGAGAACAACTACAGTCGTTTGTAGTGGAGCGACCTAAAAATATCAAATATCATACTAGTCAATACTTTCCAATACTGGATTTATATAGTCGCTCTTAAAAAAAACATGTGATTATTCATTTCAGATTCACTTAACAATATACCCATAAATAGTTCAAAAAGTAATGAACTATTTCCACTTTATTGGCATCATTTGCTAATAAATTTATAATTTCACCAGAACTAAAATTATTTATTGCACGACTTGATAAACGAAGTACCTTATAAAAAAAACTGTTAAAACTATATCATCAATTATTTTTTATTCACTTTTCGAAAAATTAAACCGCTGTAAGCCATTCTCATTTGTATAGCACACATGACAACACGATAAATGTACTATAAAAATCGACAATAATCTATATCGAAATGATATTTAAGAAATCGATACTACTTGATGAGAGATAAGATTTATACATAATAGTGGCATAATAACAGTTAAAGCTGCTAACCAAGCTTCCCAAGAAAACATAGTTGAACATGGTTCGAAAAACTTGATGAAATAGATGAGTAATAATGGTTGGACAATATAAAATGATTCCTATTAAAACAAGAATTAAATTAAAATACATATATTTTAATCAAAGTAAATTCAAATTTGATTATCTTTTCTCACAAGAGGTATTAATAAAAGACCAATAAGTATCAATTTCCATCTCATAGTACGTAATGTAGCTCGAATTAGACTTGGATTCTGTGGACATCGTTTTATTTCTTCTAACCAATTTTTTTCCAGCTTATTAGTTAATGATGTTGAATTAAGATAATCAGGAAGATCATAAAGATCATCAAGATGAAGTGTCCCTTGTTTGTGACTTTTCGTTATTAATGATGATATGATAGCCAACTATAAAACAACGAAAAAAAAACGGTAATGATTAAAAATAGAATGATAAAATAGTTCTACGTACTAATGAAAAAAGCGTGAAAAAATATTAACTTTTAATAAAGGATTGGGATTGTTTGAAGATGATGACATTTATATTAAAGGTTACACCTATCTCTTATTTGGTTATTTCGTCGTATCCTTTATTCTATTAACTATGGTCGTATTTTGTTCTCTCACACGAATGGTGATATGAGGCAGTTTTGTAATTTGAAAAATGAGAATGATAAGTCAATAGAATGAATATTTTTTTGAGATCTCATTTTTTTAATCTGTCATACTACTACGTTTAGAAATAAAAATAAATATCGTTGCATCAGATCTTCAAATATCATTCAATATTACTTTTGAAATTAGATTCAATTCAATCTAATCTTATTGCATTGAGTCATGATTGCAACATGTCAAATCAGTAATAATGTAACCAATCATATTGATTGAATAAATGATATCATATAAAAATAGATAGCATCTTCACGTGGGTTCTATTTTTATTCGAAAATAGAGAATAAATTTTTTTTTCGTCGTTAAATACTATGCTACTATCAAAACTATTTGATAATCAGTTCTTTTTACAGATATACCAACAAAATAAGTACGATTTCTTGTAGGAACTATTCAGAGTGAATTGAAAAATACCAGTCTTCATGAATTTTTGTTGAATATATCCCATATCTAAGAAAACTGTATAGAATGTTGTCCATGATTTATTCTTTGTAAATAAAATTGATCAAATATCGAATCAACGAAAGAGTAAATAAAAACGATTTGTAAAAATAGAATTATATACTATATTATTTAATCGTTTACTCACATGCATCGAGCTAGAAGAAGAAAAATCATTATCAAACTCGAAGTTCTTTGTGTGATTGCACAGAATAAAGTCTTGGAGAAGGGTATCATCGCAGTTATCGATCAGTAAATATCTTACAAAGTCGACAAGAGGTTCAATCTTTACAATATGATTTCTTTATACAAATACGAACGTTTCATCCACTCCAACAGACTACAGACCAAAAAATAGAGACCTGCGTTGCAATCATGATTAAAGTACTAGATTGAAAAATACACATTGTCGATAAAAACCTAGAAATGTACCCAGTTTTTCTAAAATCATGAAAAAGTACGCCATAAATGAGTGATTTTTCAAAACTGTGCAATCCGATGTTATTGTAGGATATTCTAATGGAATTTTGAATATAAAAAATTGCTCATCTTTGAGGTTGAGTGTTAATATGAGTGCGAATTTGAAGTGATTTTCCTTTGGCCGAAATCTACACCCGTATATTCACGCTGTCTAATTTTGATGCTAGTGACAATTTACACTGAACTTTCATGACAGAACATTCAAATGCCGAACAAGCACAACTATTTCATCGTTAGAGGAAAGAAAAAAAAAGAGTGGCGACGAGAGTGAGATTTGAACTCACGCGGGCAGAGCCCATTAGATTAGCAGTCTAACGCCTTAACCGCTCGGCCATCTCGTCGTAGCAGATCTCAGTCAACTACTACTCAAAATATGAACGATCAATATTTCAATAAGAAAACTATCAGATTTAGAGAAAATTCTAGTCTTAAATTGATTCAAATATGAGTCAGTACAATAAAAGTCTGTTTTTTGAAACAAAATGGACAACTTATCCGAGAATGAGTTTAATCTTGTAGCAGAATTAGCAGACTCTAAAAGACATTTTTTACCTAGTAATTTATAAAAAATTAGTTTCTGTTAAAATTCTTTGTGTCACTTTCAATCGATCACAGCGAAAAAAGGAAAGGTACGTTTAATAGAAAGACTTAAAAAACAGGTGTTTGGAGTTTCGAAAAGTATCTAGCTAGCTTTTTTGTAAGCCTTCTTTAATCAAGAAAAGAACGGATTTGATCAGTTTGTTGTAAACCCCCCCCCCCCCGCATTAAAAGGCCCGGGGGCCTTCTATAATGGCGGAGCAAACAAAATTTTTAGGGGGGCCTTCTATTTAGGGGGGCCTTCTATTAGGAATCTATGATATACATTGTCGAAAAGACGTCTAATTTTCCAATAGGTAGTCTTTTTTTCACAAAAATGACGAAATCTTACCATTCACGTGAAAAAGATTTTTGTACATTGATAAATTACCAAAACTTGATGTTCAGTTATTTTCCATAATTCCTTCAGTTTTGACTATCCGAGACGTTCATAATTAAGCGGATAAAATTGTTTTTTTGCTGAGCTTCCCAAGTCGTAGGAATTTCGACAAAAATGGAACCAAAATGCGGATACTCTGTATGCCAAATGAACGGTCCCCTATTCACAGGGACAGATACACACTATTTGAAAGCTTTTGAGGTATAAAAGAACTTCTCGCGTCAAAGTTTACGTGAGTGTTTTCCAGGTTCGCCGGTATCGAAGTAGAATCATAGCCTTAATATAAGGCCCGGGCCTTCTATTAAGGCGATCATTCAGAACTTTTTGGGGGGCCTTCTAATAAGGGGGGGCCTTGTAATACGGGGGGGCCTTCTATTGCGGGGGGGTTTATAATCTTGTTATGATCATTTTTATGAATAATTAAGGATAAGGCAATTCGATAGATAGTGCTTGTATTAAGAACAACAATCTCATTAAAAAAAGTCATTTTTCTATTATTCAAAAAGTGTGAAACTTTGAATTGATTGCTTGTTCTTCTAAGTATATATTGTAGATTTGAGTGCTATCTACTTTAGATTAGTGACGTACAAAAAATTGAAATAAGATGAGCGAATTACATGAAATGTTCAGTAAGCATATCGATTTATTATTTTGCAATCGAATAGAGACGTAAATCGAGAATCTGGAAAAGCCCTTGATAGTTTGACAATTTTTGCTTGGACATTTACTATTACACTAGGTGTTGAAGGCGTACTAGTCTACGAGGTACACAACTGCACATTATTTCACCCAACAAAGTACAAGTGGTGGACACCGATGGTGCGGGTGAAATGTTTGCCAGCGCATTTTTATTCGCTATTGCTCAAGGGAAAAATTTTTCGTCAGCAGAAATATTTGCGAGTTTCACTGCAGCAGCCATTATCTCGAATTGTGGGTTGTGTTTGAATGCAACGAAACAGTAACAAATCTAAGCACAATGGACAAGCACCGAGAAAAATCTCTAACGTTAAGTAAACGACATTCATCTAGAAGCACTAAATAACCGCAACGGTGGTGCTCTGAAATAAATTAGTTAGTATTGTTCTAGTTGTGACCTAATTTTTGTTTGATCAATAATGACACAAGATGAAAATAAATAAGAAAAAAAAAATACTATGCGATGAGTCTTGAGCATGCTATCCTTTTTCTTGAGTATCATCCATACGAATTTGATTACTGATACCAATGATATACCCTACGCAAAAAATTCTGGGACACTTCAGAATGACTTGTCAAATTATATATCTTATTCGAATTAAAGTTTATATATATGGTTAGTACAGTCATTGCTTAATATTTGATATTATACCATGCAGACGCAAAAGTTCTTGTTAAATAAAACGAGAACTTTTGCGTCTACATCGTATAATATCAAATATTAAGCAATGACTAAACTTACCATACAGGGTGTATGAAAAGCAGATCCCTATTTTAAATTGTTGTTTTCTCTTTAATAAGAACAGATATTGTGTTACTTTTTTTTACTATTTTGAAGCGTGCTTCATAAATTTTGTTTTACATAAGAAAGAATGTTAATGAAGTGACCATGTAAGATCAAACGCAAATTTCATCTGAAGATTGCTTGAAAAATAACTTCTTATTTTTCATCGTTGATTACTTTTATACAAAGCATATATGTTGTAATAAATTTTTCATGGCTTTGAAATGCAATACCGTCACGGCTATTCTTGAGACATTATCGCGTAAACGTATTACACACACCTCAAAATAGAAAAAAATTATTACAATATATGCTTTGTATAAAAGTAATAAACGATGAAAAATAAGAAGTTATTTTTCAAGCAATCTTCAGATGAAATTTGCGTTTGATCTTACATAGTCAATTCATTAACATTCTTTCTTATGTAAAACAATATTTATAAAGCATGCTTCAAAATAGTAAAAAAAGTAACACAATATCTGTTCTTATTAAAGAGAAAAAAAGAATTTAAAATAGGGAGCTACTTTCCAGACACCGTGTAGATATAAACTTTAATTCGAATAAGATATATAATTTTGACAAGTCATTCTGAAGTGTCTCAGAATTTTTTGCGTAGGGTATATATTACCCTTGTGGAAATTTCGGTTGAGGTACGAAAGATTTTGACAATATTGATACAAACTATTTTGAATGTTGTTCTTCTATTTGACAAGCTTAACGGCATACTCAAACACACTTAAATAAAAGATTCATAATATTTAACAACAAATTTACCTTGGTTTGTATAGAAACTCGCGAGATTAAAATTTCGTATGATGATATCATCAATATTTATATTATTTTCAGTTGTCAATAGTTTGTCCCCCATTAGAACAATTATGGTTCATAATGCATTCGAATGAAGATATTGTGTGATATGTGACACTAAACGCATTTTATTATTTTCACTCACTAGATTCAATTTGACAGATCAGTATCCATTGTGGTGAGCTTCCTCATCCATTATTATTTTTCACGATTGAGTCCATATATCTTTTCTATAACCATTCTCTATTGAGCTTAGATGAAAAATGATTTTCACTGACACAAACATAATTTATGTGCATTGGAAAAGATTGACGAACACATATATGTTTGTATCCAATCATTTCACATGCCACTCTTATTCGATTCGAATCATTAAGCAGCGAAGTGTTCCTTATTATTTTTATACTGCTTGATGAATTCAAGCAAGACACTATGACCTAGAATATGTTAACGTCTTTCAATGATCCTTGCCAAATTTATAATCTGTTGTTTCATAGCAATGCTACTGCTAACTATAAACGATTTTCACCAGCAACATGGGTAATCAAATAATACTTTTGGCTATTGACAGTTGGTCGACAGATGGTTTTGATTTTCGTTTTCTCGTAAATTCTGTAGGTATACTCACTTTTTAATGTCACTTGTAGGTTGTACATAAGGATCAAAAAATTTTACTAGCCAATTTTCTACACTGATATCTATTTTTTCACATCTTCGTCCTTTATTGATAAGACGCTGTCTTTAGGCATCGAACATCGTTTTCAGAAAGAGAAACGAACCGAACCCGAGCGGACTCTCGAAAAATGAATTCGAACCGAACTCGAACCAATAAAAGTCGGTTCGATTCGCTCTCTGTAATCAATTCAAACCATCAGTAAAGATATTAATCGCAATTCTTTATTACAAATTCTTGACGCAATGATATATCTAAATAGTCAAGATATGGTGCATAGTGATTTATGTTGTTCACATGTTTTTGTTTTCGAAATGAATTCATCCGAATCAATTAGAAATTCAATTAAACTGGATAATTTTAGTTTAATATGTCCAAACGATCCAACACTTGTTGATAATATTCAATCAGCTCTTCCAGTTAGATTATTGTGCTTCTGAAATTCTTCGAAGTGCACGCCAATCGAATTATTCTGAAGCATCGGATGTTTATTCATATTGGTGTTTTGATGTGGGAAGCTTTCTCAAAAGGAAAACGTTACTATGAACCTTTAATAACTAGTAGTGAGGGTCGACCACGAAAATTAAATGGTGAGAAATTATCTAAGACATGAATGTGCCATAATTTTGTGTGGACCAATATTAAACATTGCTGGTATAATCAACCGGAAGTGCGATTTAGTTCTGAAGAAATGAAAAGGTTACTTTCTCAAAATCATCTCCAGTAAGTTAAATTTATCTTATTATTGACTTTATCTTTGTCACAAAATCAACATTAATTCATAAACTAATATTTTATGATGGTTGTTGATTCGTTGAACTTTTCATGTTTATTCTTTTTTTTTAGACCGTTAGAAATATATAAATATGAACTGGATACAAGCATTACAATGAAACATTCATTTAATAGAAATTGTGGTAGATTTTGCGAGTTTGATTGGATAAAAAAGAAACAATCATCAATAATTTTTAATGATTATGAATGAAGAAATAGCAGAAGATGAAGCTTCATTGTATCTTACACTTAATAAGCTTGATGACATTATCGAGACTTTTGGTTTTGTTGGAAAAGATCTTCGATCACCCATGCTATTACTGGAATGTGCTAAATACGGAGAGCTTCAAATATTGTTACGAACTAAACAATTTCAACTATAATCACCTGTACTTCTTCAAATTTCTCGACAAGGGTGGGGTGGGTGTGGGTATAGCTCCTTTGCAACAAACACCCACACCCACGCCAACATTCGCAACCACACCACCCTCACTCAAATTCACTCACACACCCCAGGTTCAACGGGTCTTCCCTTCGAACGAAACCAAATACCTTGAAATCATATCTTGTCATTTTTAAGGCGTCAAATAATTTCATATAAGGATAATCAACAGCAGGTAATATTTCAAATTTAGCAGTTTCGCGATGTCGGTGATAATTTGGCCCGAATATGGTTTGACTTTTTAAATGATAATAGAAAGAAAGAAAATTGAAATATTCCTTACTGGACACTTATATATACGTATATATTTCGAGACAGTTTTTAAATGTTTTCAATAATTCGTTCATCATTTAATGCGAGGTTGTTTGCATTCAAGAGGTACGGATCTCATATCGATACATGTGAGTGTACAATTGCTTCAAATGAGGAGATATAAATGGAAGTATTCCTGCGATAGAGATAAGTGCGAGAATGGTGAGAAGCCATTCCAAAGCAACTAACCATGTTGGAAGACTTCCAAGAATCCGGTAAGCTACAGGAAAAAATGCATGTGGTGCAGCAGAAGATGTCAAGAGTGTAAGAATGATAAGTATGCGTTTTAAGATAATCATATCACGACGCATACTTTTTCGTCGCTTAATTATGACGATTGTTGGATTATGTTGTCGAACATAATATATAGTATATACATAGCTACATACGATAATAATAAATGGAAAAAGAAACCCAAGTACACAAACAGTTAATGATCCACGCATACTACTTGGTGCAACTTGACAATGGTAATCATTATGTAAGTATTCCATATCACCGATAAGCAAACTTGGTAGCAATTCTAAGGCTGAAAAAATCCATTGGCCAAATGAAACAATTATATAAGAACTAAAATGTTGACATTTGGTTTGTATTGGATGTATGATTCGACATATTCTATAAATAGCTTGGAGCAAGAATGAATGAA